TCATGTCGGCGCCTTCCCGCGATCCTCGCTAGCACCTGAAACACATAACACAACAACTGTAAGCATAAATGCTTAGTGAGTTCCCCAAAATACCACATACCACACATACGCCTTTCCAGGCCATAACTCTGTAGGATCTTCCGATCCATGTGTCTCAGGGGACTTCCGTCCCAAATCCCGATAGACCTTCCGGTCCTACCTGTATCGACCTTCCGGTCCGTAACCTCTTGACCTTCCGGTCCATGTCATCTTGACCTTCCGGTCCATATCATCTTGACCTTCCGGTCCATACCATACATGACATACATAACACATACATATCACATAACCGCATATAGCACATACATCTCATAGCATACAAGACCTTCCGGTCACACATAGGTACCCTTCCATGTACAGTATAGTGAGAAGACTCACCTCAATGAAGTCGGATAAACTCTCGTGCTCAACGTCCCGACCTAGCCTCCTCCTATTATTCAAATAACATTCCCGATAAATATTCTCTCATAGCCTCATCTCTACAGATTGGGTAGAAGGCCATTTTACCCCTCTCTGAACTCTCTTGAATCAGTCTTGACCAGAACCCTAAAGTCAACGAAAGTCAACGGTCAAACTTTGACCAGACTCGTCGAGTGCACAAGGGCGACTCGGCGAGTCCATGTGGGTTTTCTGAATCCTTCTAGTCTCTCTTGGCTCGTCGAGTCATCGTCCCACTCGACGGGTTACACCTGTCACAAATCGCGGGGCAACCCCGACTCGACTCGTCGAGTCCCATTATGGACTCGGCGAGTTGCATCCATGGCAACACTGAAATGACCTTCTCAGGTCAGATCTACTTCTCTAACCTATAGATCTGGCCTTCCCAACCACTATAATCATGTAAAGGTCCGACCTTTACACTCATGCAATGCCCAATAAGCTCCTTTGGGTGAAATAACCTCTAGAATGGCAACCTAGGGTCATATCTCTAATGGAGTAGCAAAAAGCAAGATAGATAGGACTCTCTGGACCTCTTAAGGTCCAGATCTAAGAAGAACTCCACCTTGGGACCTCACATACTTCGAATCGAATCCAAAGAAGGCATAAGAAAACCCTAGATTCAAGTAGATCACCAAATACACGAGATTGAGCACAGATTAGTACCTCTAGCAGCCTCTTCTGATCAAATGGGTGATAGATCTGAGCTCCTCAATCTTCCTTGTTTGTCCTCCTTCATTCTTTCTTGCAAAATCACACTTAGAATGATGAATTAGCCCTCCTCTTGCACTACAAGCTTTCTCTCTGCTCTCTAGGGTTTCTTAGGGGTGCATTGGCCGCAAATGGAGGCCATAAAGGCCTTTAAATAGGGCATAGGACCCGAGAATTAGGGTTTCACTTAACAGCGCGGACTCGCCGAGTCCACGCATCGACTCGTCGAGTCCTTCATTAAATCAGACAAGAAATGCGCGCTCCTACTCGGCGAGTCTGAGCGTCTACTCGCCGAGTCCCTCCATAAAACTCAAGATAAATGAACTTTATAGCATACTTGGAAATCCGGATGTTACAATATATATCTTGAATATATAAATGATGTCAATATTAAATTTAAGATACTAATTTATGTCATTTATCGTATGATTTGCAGTTAAATTCTCTTATATTCGTTGTTATGGCTCTAAGTCGTCCCTTTATGATCATTTTATATTGGGGTGGTAATATTGAATATGAGAATGGATTGATCAAGGGTGACCAATCAACTTTGTCAACTTCAGATATTCTTAAGCACAAAATACGGTATGAACAATTTAAAGATTTGATTTATACACATGTTGGAGTTGAATGATGATAGATGTGAGACAAATAATGACTTTGGATTTGATGAGCCCAACTCAGAGTGTAATAGTGAGTCATGAAGCAATATTAGCGTCAATTCCGATGATGCAAGTGACACTCCGGTTGTGAACTTTATGAATGATGTTGGAAATATAGGGGATGATGACATAGAAGACCTAGAGGACAACATTCATATAGATCTTTGGAAGGAATCTGAAAACAAAATTACGCTAGGAATGCAATTTGAAAGGTAAGTTGCAAGTGAAAAAGGCTGTAACACTTTGGTATATCAACCAAAATAGAGAGTTTAAAGGGTACGAAAGTAAAAGTAACAAATGGGTAGCAAAATGTAAGACTGTAGGAGATGAAGGAGAAAGCAATAGTTCTATGCACCATGAACCACCTTGTCAATGGTATATTCGTGTAATTAAGAAGAAAAGTCATAAAATGTGGCAGATTACACGTTCGGTGGATGCATATAATTGTTTTGGATCTTGTATTGGCAATGATAACAAAAATTTGAACTTTGCAACGATTGCTTCATACATCCTCCACTCAATTGAAAAAGATGTTGCTTATCCGGTGAAACATATACAAGCCGATATTAAAACTATTCTGCATGTTGATGTTTCTTATGATAAGGCATGGCATGGTAGGAGAAAAGCCATAGAGAATATTTATGGAACTTGGGAGAGTAACTTTGCTGAGTTACCTAAGTATATTACAACTTTGCAGTCTTCAAACCCTGATACAGTTGTCACGTGGTTTCATAAACCGAATGTCACATCACATGTAGCAACATTCAAATATATGTTTTGGGCTTTTGGACCAGCCATTACAATATTTCAGTTGTGTCGGGCTGTTATTTCTGTTGATGGTACTCATTTGAAGGGTTCGTACAAAGGAAAAATGTTTGTTGCTGTTGCAAAAGATGCTAATAATCATATATTACCAATTGCTTATGCTATTGTGGATGAGGAGACTGTGCATAGTTGGTGTTGGTTTTTTGATCAGTTTAGACAATTTGTTGGTCAAAATAGACAATTATGTGTTATTTCAGACATACATCAAGGAATAATTCATGCATTGGCGAATTTACCAAAATGGAAAGAGCCATTAGCATACCATCGCTTTTGTCTCCGGCACATCAGAAGTAATCTTATGAAAAGGTACAAGAACGTGCGCCTTAAAAGATTATGTTGGTCTATTGGTAGCACCACACAAAAAAGAAAATTCGTCAAGTATATGAAAGCGATAAAAGAAATCAATGTTGAAGCTTGGGAGTATCTAAGTCAAATCGACAAAAGTCAGTGGTGTCTTTTATATGATAAAGATGACAGGTGGGGTTCCTTAACGATGAATATCTCTGAGAGTATGAACAATGCATTGCGAGGAACAAGACAATTACCGATTAGGGCATGTATTGATCTTACATTCAATAGAACTGTGCAACTTTTCATAAAGCATAGTGATGTTGCATTGAAATGCAATACACCTCTACCATCGCGTATGTGGTGTCTCTTTGTTAAACGTGACACTCACGCACAAAGTCATACTTTATCTGAGTTTTACTACAATGAAGGTGTATACATAATCATTACTAGGCCACGAATAAATGGAACAAGTGGAATTACGCATACTGTCCGTTATTTCCAACACACATGCATCTATGGTAAGTGACAAATGGAAATGTTTCCATGTTCGCATGCTCTTGCAGTTTGTCGAAATAGAGGGGATAATCCTATTTCAATTGTGAATGACGTGTACACTAGTGCTACCTATAAACTACAATATAATGCCGGTTTTGCACCACTTCCCCATGTTGATTATTGGTTAGATTTGAATTGGATGATTGAAGCGAATTACTCAAAACTTTCTATTGCTCGAGGTAGGAGGCTTGCAAACCGAATACGTAACGAGATGGACATTCATCATCTCGGTGAACCCCGTAGATGTGAATTATGCCACCAACCAGGTCACAATCGAAAAAGTTGTCCAAATTCTCAACCAAGGTTTAATGTGATGTAAGCAATGTATTTTATTGATCTTGTAAGTTTAGTGATCTTGTAAGTTTATGTTTATTTGATTTTGTATTTTAATGTTGAATTGGTTTGTGATTTCTTAATGTTATAATATGATGTGAAATATATGTTTTATTTATATAATTTTAGTAATATGTAATTTTGTTATTGATTGAAGACGTTAATGATGTATTTTTAGTTGTATAAATTAGTAAGGTCTATATATATATATATATATATATATAATTTAATAATATATTTATAATTAAAAAATATTATATTAATAATACATTTATAATAAAACAAAATATTATGTATAAAGTTGGTTAAGATAGAAAACAAAAATAGAATATAAAAGGTAAATGTGTAATTGAAAAGTTGTATAATATAAAACTAAACATTTTAATATTGTATAAGGGTCATTTATGTAATTATAAACTCATACGTAAAATTTCAAGTGGGGCCACAACCCTAATTTTACAAACCAGTTTGAATGAGCCAAAACCTCCGCCGGACTCCGCTCCGCAGGACCCGATACCGTACATGACTAATTTTTTAAAAAATTCGGGAGGGGGCGAGGGCGAGATTAGCCCCCGTTTATTTTCCAGTCGAAATCGATTTTGTAACCCGAATCGGCCGGACCTTTCCTGTTTTGACTTTGCATGATTCAAAGAACCGAAAACCAACCCTACTCTGACAAAGCGGTCCAGGTCCGATCCATGGGTCCTAATGGTCACCCGTAGTTGCTGGGCATGTTGTGTATTTGAGTTCCAAGATGAGCGTGCCAAAATACGCCGTAGACGTCTTTCATACGCTATGTTCATCTGTTAAGCTGATATCTGTTTAGTGTTCCTTTTTTTTTTTTTTTTTTTACTTAGTACATTCAAAGCAAAGATCGTTTGTTCATCGCATAAGTCTAGTTATTTTATGTAATATTTGGTTATTTTCACAAATATGAACTGTTATTCTTCTGTTAAAGTTTCGTTTATTAAGTACCAAGTTCAAATCTGGGTTTGCTTTTACTGTTTGTCCTTTCCCCTGTTTTGCATAAATAGTCCAGAATGTGTATTAATTTGTGGTTATATTTGATGGTGATTCTGTTATTTTATTTTAAAGATTAGATCTCAGATTGATTTAGATCATGTATAGGATTAAACAATGAACGGAATGAGCTTGATGACGTCAAAACCTTGCTGTCCTATGTATAATTTTGCTAAATTATACATAAAGCAAAATTATCAAACGGAATTTCTCCTCTTGTCAAAACCTTGCTGTCCTAAAAGCAAAATTATCGGCTTAATCCCATGTCGCTTATCAAACGGAATTTCAACTACACGTATGTTGAAACATCGTGCATATTTAATATCTGCTGTTAAAGATGGAAAACGTGGTTTGAGATCTCAAGTACCTACTAAAGGTAAAGGTAGTGGTGTTGTGGTACTCTCTGCTAGTATCATTATTGGTTTAACTCTAACTTTACTGGGAGTTCGTTGCACGATTTGTTTCTACCAAGGGAGGAATTGGAGGTCAGTTTATGCTTATTCTCCCTTTTTCAATGAAAATATATCAAGTTAAACAAACAGACTAATAAATTTCTCTAAATCTGTATTGTTTCAGAAATTTGGAAATCAAGTGCTCGTTTTCATTTCTATCTAAAGGTCCTGGCTCTTTTTGTAGCTGCACGCATTTTTGGCGGTATCCTGTATTGGTTTGCAGTATTACGACTTGACAAACCCTTTTCGATTGGAGATATAATACAAGTATATGTAATTTTAAGTTTTTTGTGATTAATTTAATCTTTTATGAATTTGTTATTATATATCTAGTTTGTTGGCTGCAGGTTGGATCTGTGAAAGGTAAAGTTATTAGGATGGGAGTGATAAGCACCTCACTGCTTACTGCAGACAATACTCCTATGGTTGTACCAAATACCATATTTTCTAGTGAGGTGACCATTACTTCTTTCCTCCCTAACCTTAAAAGTTTTGTTTTAGTATATAACATAGTCCTTTTTTTTGTTCATAGGCAATTGTGAACAAATCATATGCTGATTGGCATGAATTGGTGTCCAATATTTATCTTCTAGTTGATGAGAATGAGGAGATCCACAAGATGGTAGAAGAAATCATAGACACGGTGAAATCGAACCCAAACATTTACTTGGAGGGAGAGCCGCCGTATTGTTGCCCTTCTGCTATTAAAAGTAATTGGGTAGAGCTTAATTTTGGATGCAAACTAAAAAACATGGTATGTATTTTATTTTCACCAAATAATATTATGTGCACATTTTACAACATTGTACTTTAAAATATTTTTTAATTAGGACAATATCTTAGTAAGAAAAAAATAGAAGTAGGAAGGTAGATGTTGAGCTTCTGGAATTCTGCTAAATTTTTCTCCTTTTTGTGTAAACGATTTGTCTCATATTTTGCAGGGTGAAGGCGACTTACTTTCAGCAAAGCAAGATATTCTTCTGCAGTTGGTTAAGATAATTGAGAAGCATGGGCTCAAACTAGATGATCACATGGGGAAACTAAACACTTTCTAACTCTCTGGATCTGTAAATAAATACTTTTAACTTTTGGTTTTGGGTTTCAACACAAAAAAGATAGTGTTTTTGTGGTCTGTAACCATCTTCATTTTAATCCTTGAAGTTGGTATTAGGAAAAACACTGATTGGGTTGTCAACTTATGTTAAGAAAATGTCAAAGACCCGAATAGCATCTTAATGCGTTTCTAAAATATCATGTGTAAACTTTAATGCTATTTGTGCACAAGGTTCCATTTCTTTAAACACTGATTGGGTTGTCAACGCATGCTTTTTTACTAGTTTACTTAAAAGTTTTAAGTAAACTAGTAAGCGTTTTGCCATGGGTTTGAATGAAGTGTGGTTGTATGTGACATAACTAGCATTCAAAAATAGACATTGATAACATTAGTAATCTTCAATGATTTGTAGCATAACAATGTGTAACAAAGTGTGGTTATATGATAACATGATTACATCCATTATCATCATTTACTTCAAGGATAACATAACATTTAAAAAAAAAATAGACACCAACTCATTTTTTACATTTAAGAAGCAAATTATAGGTTCATAACCTATATAAAATAATTTTGGGTCAAATGATTATATACATATTAATTCTGGAGTTGGTGAACAGGAAAGGATTGTAATTTTGAATTTGACCACAAATTTCTACGCTTTAAGACAATTGCCACACACTTTTTGGATTTTACACTTAACTTTCTCAACATCTTCTTTCACACACCGATTCTCTTGCCCAATGATTTCCAATTGTTTCCACCGCCTTCTACTACTTTCATCTACTTTTTGCATCGCTCATTCGAAAAGTTGTCACCTTCGTCATCAAAGTAAGGACGCAAAGGGACTGCGGTTCTTCATTCCTCTGTGTTGTGTGTTAACGGGAACGAAAAAAAGGGAGGGCGGCCGCCGATGCACCACCGGAGAAACCAGCGCCATAGCCGGAGACTACCGGAAAAAACTTTGTAGGTTAAACAATTTTTCCTATTTCTGATTTCTGCCTTAAGATTGGCTACACCATCGATTGAATCTTTTCAATTACACAGTATCGACAACTGGAAGACACGTGTAGAAAGCTTTTTAGATTTTCAGATAGATTAAGGTTGATTGCAAAATTGATTTTCTTTTTTCACTTCTGGTTTTAGGTATTACGTTTTTTTGTCCAACACACTTCTACACTTGTGTGAAATTGATTGTCTTTTTTCGCTTCTGGCTATGTATTTTTTTTCGTTGGAGTTCCAGTTTGACGAAATTCATTTTGGTTATGGTCCGATGAAACAACGGAATAGGTACGGGTTACCGATGTTTCCTTTTTGCTTGAGGTGGCGCAGTTCGCATAGACTGCAATAGATGGTATCGGATTTTTCTTGTGCTCAATTGCTTATATCCCTATCTTATTTCGTGTTTTCCCAAAATAATTTACGTGTTTGTATACTGACAAATTCTAATGAGATTTTGTTGTCCTGACATTAATCACCTGTTCATGTCTCTTTGAAGAACTAAAACCCCAATACTGGCACAGTTGCTTGGTACCACTACCCAACAGCGTTGCATCGGATCAATTATAGCAGGTTATTCAAATACATAACTTTTTTATGTCACATAAATGAACTAACAAAAAATTAAGGTTGTGACTACATTGATGGATGGTAGGTCATTCAATTTCCCGACAGGTGAAGTGAAACTGATGACAGTTTAATAGAACAGGTTTCCAATTACCCATGAAATTTAATTATACCCTGTCCAGTTGATATTGAGTTTTGAAATTGAGTTTCACCATGCATCCCAACTGCTTGAACCAGGGTGGCCCTTACTATATTTTTTTCGTGCTTACTAAAGGTAAAGAAAAAAAAAAGTTGTTTATGAGGGTATTATGGTCTTTTAAACGTGGGTTCAAACTACAGTCAAATTTTGAAGGTTAAAGATCCAGACAACTCATCACAAACAGTCTATGAATCATGGGTTCTACAAACTACCAATTATCCTAAGGTAAATGTTTCACAATTACTTTCCTACCCTTTAAGTGATTCCAAAATCTTAGTTCTGGGATGGGGATTTGCAAGAATTAGTGGATCAAATGGAGTATTTAAGGGCGTCCAATGCTTAAATTATTGACATTTTATTGTTTGTGGGGTGTCTGCAGCTCCACCTCTTCTTTAGTACAAGTCAGAGAGATGCATATGATTCTTTAATGTCTTGTGCTGAGGTGATTGTGGATTTTGCAAGGATACTAAACTGTTGTTTTCTTGTATCCTTTTGATGTTTTTATTTTATTTAATGTTTTTTTTCTTAACAGTAAATTTATTTTGGGACAAAACACCCCTTCTTTTATTATCTCTGTTTCTTTGCAGAGGCCAAAGAAACAAGAAAGAGAAGTTAGAGGGGTAAAATTAGAGCTAAAAGTGAAGGTTAATTCTGTTGGGTTTAGGGTATGTTGGTCATAAAATAAAAAAAAATACCGAAAAAATAATTTAAAATATTTATGAATTCTGTTGCTACTTCAGTTAGGGTATCATTACGTTGCTTTCTTATACAAACACATATTTATACCTGTATCTCCAAAAATAAGTTCAAAATAAACGACTCTTGTAGACAAAAGAAAATCATTCTCTACTTAACACATCACCATCACCATTAAAGTGAAGTCAACGAAATACAAAACAAAAATTTATGAACATTTAGGTAAATCTAATCCAATCTAGCGCCAACGGCGCATGTAATTCCTACTAGTTTTTATCAAAAATTATAAAAAATAGAGAAAGAGGTGGGCTCCTTTTTTATTTGTTTGGGAAAATTTCATATATATCTTTGCAAACATTAGATATTACCTTCCAAAATTCATAATTACTTATATATCATTTTTAACCTATTAAACTCACATTTATATCCAATCCTATAATTTAATAAGGAATAAATCAATTTAATATCAAAAACATATATTTAAATGTTAAATACATATAAATTTATCAAAATACCCTTTGCATATTATATCAAAATCAAATTCTATTAGTTTTTTGGGTAAATTACACCAATCGTCCCTCGTGCACATGCCAAAAAACGTGTTTAGTCCCTATTTTTAAAAATTAACTCGGACCGTTCATCGTTTGTTTTAACCTTTCACACTTCATCCCTCCAGACATAAAAAGACTATTTTACCCTTTACAATTTATTTTTTAATTTTTTTATTTGTTTTATCATTTTTCAGTTAATAAAAAAAGAAAAAAACATATACACCTATCCACCCTCCCCCTTTTCTTTCCCTACATTTCTTTCGTCTCCCTGACTATCTGGAAAGAGCAAAACACCACCACCATCGTATTCTCCGGTGACCCAATAACATCTCTGGCGACTCTGAACAGAAAAGAAAGAACTCATTTTTTTTTCTTTAAGAACTTCACCATTCTCTTTCTCTTGTAGCTCTTTCTCTTTAAGAACTCCATTTCATGGACCGAAAAGAAAGAACAGGTCGACGAACCCTATCGGAAATGGTCGGAGAAGAAGATGCGGGTAAACGCAAATCCTAAATAGACGTCTCCATCTGATGTGTCATAACACAAATCCTAGATCGATGTCGCATCCCTTTGTCTTTTTAGATGTGCGGCTGGAGGTAGCGATAGGGTTTCAAGAGGTGGCGATAGGAGGTCTAGAAGAGTCACATAGGTGGTGATGGTGGCTTTGCGAGGTCACTTTTATCCGGCGAGGCGACGACTTCATATGTCGCTGGAAGTGGCTTCAACATCGATAGATGGGATGTGATTGTAGGTAAGGGAGTTGGCTAGAGACTGTGATAAGTGGTGATGGTGGCTCTGCGAGGTCACATTCTCTAGAGGTGGAGACGATGATGGTGACCGGCGATCTAGCCGATGATTTTTGGTGGATATTATCGTTGGAAGTGGCTTCACCAAGTTTGTGAGTTTGTTTCCGATTAGCAACAATTGAAGTGTGGGGTGTGGAAAATGTAGGGCCTCTATTTTTTTTTAAAGAAAATTGATAATAAAAATAATAAAAACATTAAATTAATTGATGTGACAACCCGAAAGATTTAGATCAAGCAAGGTCTAGATTGTAACCATGTGCAAGTAAATTCAAATGTAGTTTGTCATAATAAAGTATTACAAACCAAGAGGACATTGTTCGTATAAGATAATATGAATTACACTTAGAAAACCTTGTCGTAATTAATCTTGAAAAAAAAAGAAATCATCAAACTATAAACAAAATCACACTCTAATGAAATAGCCCCCTCAAGACCGAAATCACCCATTGTGAGTGATTCAAAAGCGAATCTCATGTGCTTTCGGAGTTTTCTATTGAGTTTTCTATCGAGTTTTCTATTGAGTTTTCTATTGGGTTTCTCCATGATTTTGGTCACATAAAAGTAGTTTCCAGTGGGATTTTTTTTATTAGATTTGATGTACGTCGAAGATACACCTTGGGAGGAAAGCTTCAGCTTTACATGGATTCACCCAACAAACTATCATGCAACACACCCAAACATCTAACATATATCCATACTCACTCATCCCATTTAAACCACGACAGAAGACTCTTTCTGGATTACTAGCACCCTTCATTTTTCCTTCTTCCATTCCTTTTACATTTCCAGCTTCAAGTTTTGAAATTATCTCAAGAACAAGCTAGGTTCTTTTTAAAAATCTTCATCATCTAGGTGGTCCTAAGATTTTTGGTAAGTAATTTTGACAACTCCTAGTGTTTTCGCACATTATTTTGCTGATTTCATATCATTTACACACAAATTTTCGTGTGTTAGAATCACTAGGAAACTCGCATCCAAGAAGCTCTTCAAGTTCACCCACTTCATTCTAGGCTCGACATCATCTTCATTTTCCTTCCTACAACTCGAAAACATCAAGGTGAGCTTCATACCCCCATGTTTTTCGTGTTTTTCATGCTTTTCGGGGGGGGGGGGGGGGGGGGAGATACAAGTCAAGTTTCCTTTACCCATTGAATATTTACATGCACCACCTTGTTTATGGAATATTTTGTGTTTATGATGTCAAAAACCTCATGCTTACACACCTAAAAATCATGTTTTATAAGCTTGTTATAAGTTAAAATGAGTTTGTCCATTGGACATTTGCATGCATTATGGTTATAGGTTGAACATGGAACAAATTCTTGTATAAAATGGTTGATATCATTTGTTAACTACATAAAATCATAACATATGTGATTGTCAACACTTTTATTACACAAAAATTGGGCTTAAAGGTTAATATACTTGAAAACAACAAGAACACATGTTGTAGAAACTCAAATATGTTTTGATCTTTGGATAATTACTTGTCCCACTTTTACAAATTAAAAATTTTACAAGTACAAAAATGTTAAAGTCATCTTATGGTTTTTATAAAAAAAATTGTGACCTACTAAATGGTCAAGTTAAACTATTTTGTGTTTACAAAGTTACAACCGGAAAAAATATGAGATATACAAAACTACAAATTTTTGGAGATTTTTACTAGAATTAAACTTTTCTAGTAAAAATAGTCGTAATTATGTTGTCACTATTTTGATGGTTTGAAACCCAAGGATATTATGTTATTTTTACAACATATGAAACTACCGGACATATTTATTATTGACTATTTATATAAAGTTTTACAAATAATTTACACAAAAGAGAATAAAAAACAAACTGTTGACAGATCAGTTTCCATGTCGTAAACAACATTTTATGAAACTTATAAAACGCGTGTCGTAAACAGCATGTTGTGAAACTCATAAAAAGCGTGTCGTAAAATATATGTCATAAATTTTCAATAGAGTAATCATTTCACATTACAAGAAAAAGGGGAGTCCTAGTTCACGTAAATCTGTTAATGCTTTAGTGAGACATTCTCTTCACCGTACCTATCTAGCGTACAACCTAAGTCCTGTATTATAACCAGAGTCTCCTGGAGGGAGAGCGGGGTAGTTGTGTATAGATCTATACGGAGATTGACACCCCCACACCTGAGTTGTTCGCTACAGCTAGACGGGTCAGTCTAGGGTGACAAATATCCACCAATTCCGACGCCTAACGCCGTAACACGCATAACAGTCATATCAAGCATGATTATGGTAATTCACATAGGGATTAACAATACTATCTTGGTTTACGGGAAGCTCACACTTCACTGGTTTTATAAAATATAAAACTACATACTATTTTTCAGTACACTATATTCACCATTTCGGTCTTAGGGTTTAAGGCTATAGATTTTCATACATCAGAAAATATTGGATTTTCTGGGAACATACGGTTACAAGATACAAAGAAACATGCATACATACATTTTCAGTCTTTGGTATAAGACATACAACACACTATTATAGAAAATATCGGATTTTCTGGAAACATAAAATTCTTTCAAACAAAACAGATACAAACCGTTTTTCATACAAAAATACTTATGAACTCACCAACATTCATTGTTGACGATTTTCAAAATGACTTGTATTCTCAAATAACCAGTAAGCAGGTACTAAGTCATCAGGAAACTGGATTTTGTTGCACTTTGGAATTTTTACTTTTCAGTTAATGTTGTGTAACTTTGAACAAATACACTATGTAAACAATGCAAGTTTGTATTTCTTAATGTATGTTGTGCGGGTTGTTATGTTTCATTCATATTCAATTGTTATGATACCATACAATGACATCATCCGCCCCCGGACGTTTTTGCCGTCCTGGTTCGGGGACGTGACAATTGAAAATTAAAAAATAAAGTTATTATCGTCATTTCAGTTTTTGAGGGATGAAACATGCAAAGTTAAACCCAATGAGGGACGGTCCGAGTTAATTTTTAAAAATAATGACTTGTTTTCACGTGCACTAAGGACGATCGGTGTAATTTAGCCAAGAAATCATTGGCAGTCCCCTCTTGGTCGATCAACCTCTCACCTCCGCCAACAAGACCAGTTCCGTCTCCCTCCCATCTTCCGATCTCCCTCACATTCTTCTCTCTTCTCTCTTAGCCCTCTACCGGCTACCACCACCGATTGAGACCTAGCTTAACCATCTCCTCGTTCATGAAAGATGCGTCGTCGCCCACACATTCCTCTTCCTCTTATCACCGGTGGCCACCATGGAAGCCTCAAACCTCAATTTCTAGTATTTGAGAGCATCAAGCCTTAATTTCAAGTACAAGTAGGTATCAAATTCATGTTTAATTTCGTATGTGTTGATTGGCTTCTAAAAGGAAAAGGGTTTCAGAGAATCGGTAAAACCCTAATTCAGTCTCTCGAGAAAGGTATGTTGAGCTATATTCATCTGTTAAGCTGATATCGGTTTGGGGTTTCTTACCTAGTTGTTATTTTCACAAATACAAACAGTCATTCTTCTGTTAAAGTTTCGTTCTTTTAGCATTTAGTTCAAATCTGGGCATGCTTTTACTAATTCTAAAGATTAGAATGTTAGAAATCCTGTTTATCATTTTTTTTTTGAATCTAAACATATCGGTTTTAGTTTAGGTTTGTAATTGTATGATCGTGTTATTGATACATCGCTCTAAATAAAGCAGCATATAAACTCTTTGTTTGCGCATGTATTTCATTTTAATCCAACTTTTAACATTTCAAATCCTTATTATTATTATTATTTTATTATTTTATAATAAATAAAAGTCATTTTTGGACAGGTGGCGTTTTCCTGCCTATTCTAATTACATTGTTAAATTACGACTCTAGCCTTGACAGACATTTTTATTTTCCGCTCAATTGCGTATTCCACATATCTTGATCATATAAATCCCAAGAAATCAGGGGTTGATATGATATAATTTCATTCTAAATCACAGCAACTCATCAACTTAATCGTATACAAAACAGAAGGAGTAGGTTTGTTTTTCCCAAATCCTTTCTACATCGCTTCGGTGCCTTCTACCACCTTCCACACCTCTGATTGTTGCACCGATCTAGGTTTCTCTCTCTCTGTCTTTAAGTTTCTGTTTAGTAAATTCGTATTACACTCATAATTCTAAGTGCTTACTCAAAATTCCATGTTCTCCTGCCTTGCTTCAATTATTGGGAAGTGAAAATCAGGTTCTATTTTGTCGTTTCTTGCAATATCTTGAACATTCTCTAACCTTTTCTCCATTCCTTTTGTTTGTGGGTTTTCATGCACCCGAATATTGGAGTTATACGGAACCACTTATTTGGACAACATAATGCACGCTAACTATTTGATGTAATGCTTTGTTCTTTTGACAGAGAAAGTAGTAAAATTTGTTCTGTTTTTTTCATAATTCCTTTTGTTTTTATATAAAGTTGTAATTTGTGCACTAAATTTGCACATTCATAGACAATAGCTTGATTTTTTTTTTTTTTTTTCTTCTTCTCGTCAATGGGTTGATATGTCACTTTGAATTGAGTTGTTTATGCTATTACCAATGGCCAATGCTCACACTTTGAGAAATAGTTGCCTTGCTTTCCAGCATTTGCATGAACAAACAATTGATATTTGAAGCTCATGGAGAATTGTTCCAGAATAGCCAAAAAAGATGACTCTTTGTTTGTTTATCAAATTAGCATCTTACTTTATGGATTAGGTGTGTAGGATCAAACAATGAACGGAATGAGCTTGGTGATGTCAAAACCTTGCTGTCCTATGTATAATTTTGCTAAAAGCAAAATCCCATGTCGCTTATCAAACGGAATTTCAACTACATGTATGTTGAAACATGGTGCATATTCAATATCTGCTGTTAAAGATGGAAAACGTGGTTTGAGATCTCAAGTACCTACTAAAGGTAAAGGTAGTGGTGTTGTGGTACTCTCTGCTAGTATCATTATTGGTTTAGCTCTAACTAAACACCGAGAGTTTGTTACACAATTTGTTTCTACTAAGGGAGCAATTGGAGGTCAGTTTTTTATTTTAATGAAAATTTATTAAGTTATATCAAGTTAAACAAACAGACTAATACATTTCTCTAAATCTGTATTGTTTCAGAAATTTGGAAATCATGTGCTTGTTTTCATTTCTATCTAGTCGTCCTGGCTCTTTTTGTAGTTGGACGCCATCTAGGCGATATCCTGTATGGGGTTGCAGTATTACGACTTGACAAACCCTTTTCGATTGGAGATATAATACAAGTATATGTAATTTTAAGTTTTTTGTGATTAATTTAATCTTTTATGAATTTGTTATTATATATCTAGTTTGTTGGCTGCAGGTTGGATCTGTGAAAGGTGAAGTTATTAGGATGGGACTCATAAGCACCTTATTGTTTAGTGCAGACAGTCTTCCTATAAAAGTTTCAAATTCATTGTTTTTTAGTCAGGTGACCTTTTAATTCCTCCCTAACCTTAAAAAGTTTTAATTTATAACATAGTCCTTTTTTTTTTTTTTTTTGTTCATAGGCTATTGTGAACAAATCAAGTGCTAGTTACTGTGCAATGGTGTCCAAGATTTTTGTGGGAGTTGATGTGATTGATAAGATCCATGAGATATCAGAGGAAATCATATACATGATGAAATCTAACTCAAACGTTTACTTGGAGGAAGCGCATCCTTATTGTTGCCTTTCTGCTATTATAAATAATTGTGCAGAGCTTACTCTTGGATGCAATCTAAAAAACATGGTACGTATTTTCACCAAATTATATTATTTTTGTTCCTTTCTTTTACAACATGGTACTTTAAAATACTTTTTATTTAGGACAAAGCACTTCCTAAATTGACCTAGTAGTAGCATTGTGCTTTTCAACTTTTTTATTTTTTTATATTATAAGAGTTAAAGTTGCTTTGTATATAGATAACATAGCTAAAGTTACACTGATTTCTCAAAGTACAATGCTGTAACAGTAAGAATGGAAATCTTTTAGCAATGTACTTCCTTTGAAAAAAAAAATACCCAACTATAGCAATGTTGTCGAAATACAAATGAATTTTCAATGCTATAAAGTGTAGATTTTTTAAAGTATAGTGTCCAAAATCTTACATAAGTAAAAATAAAATAAAATCGAAAGAATGTTATATTTTTAATCGATGTCTCATGGTTTGCAGAGTGAAGACGAGTTATTTTCAGCAAAGCAAGATATTCTTCTGCAGTCAGATGAGATAATCAAGAAGCATGGGGTCAAACTACATAAGCACATGGGGGAAGTAAACAGTTTGTAACTCTCTGGATCTTTAAACAAATACTTCCAACTTATGTTTCTTGTACAATTAATGCTTTTGGTTTTGGATTTTGACACAAAAAAGATAGTGTTTTTGTGTTTGTAACCATCTTTATTTTAATCCTTGAAGTTGCTATTAGGAAACATTGATTGGGTTGCCAACTTATGCTAACAAAATGTCAAGACCCGAATAGCATCTCAATGCGTTTCTAAAATATCATGTGTACGTAAATTGTAATGCTATTTGTGCACAAGGGTCCACTTCTTTAATACTTTAAAGTAAATTATTGCATTATTACGTTATGTACTAATAAATCTATCCATATAAAATAACATTTGACTATCCATAAAAAAAGATATGATTGTCAATTCATTAATTTAGTTTTAATTTTTCAAGTGTCGTATCTTTAGTAATTATCTTCACAATCAAGTATCCTTAAATCTTGCATATCACTATATAAATTCATCACGTTTGTATCATCTTCCAACTACATGATTTTCGCCTAAATAAAATACGATGATCTTCATGATATTCTCCTTGTAGGGTATGTTTCAGAGGCTTATATGGATCGATTTCAATATTCAACTAATTCAAGCTTTGGCGATTTAAATGCTCTAGTATTTAACAAATTTCAACTAGTAAAGAAAATGCGATAATTATGTCGATTTTCTTATGCAAATACTCGCTTTGTTCATACATTGATTATCTGAAATTATGTTGCTCTTAATTCTGTATCTCTTATTTCTCTAAACACCTAGTGCCCTCAAATTCGGTGTTTATTGAAACTCAAAAAATATCTTGATGGATTCTGGTAATCAAGAACTTTATAAAAACGGTTACTAACTATAAGGTGTTGAATCATTGTAATCAAAATATTCAGTGAATGCTATTTAGGTGTTGAATCAACTTTAATTAGCAAGCAATGAATCGTTATATAAAAAGTTTGAAGAATAATATCAGGTTTCAAATCAGTTTAATGATATTATTTTAATAATTTCTATATAATAGTGCATATATTATGGTTGATAACCAGTATTTTACACTACAAGAATAACAGGCAATAACGGCGACACCTTTAGCAGCGACAAACACTTTTAGCGGCGACAACAAACAAACGCGTTTTTTGTCGCCGCTAAAGCCTTATGTTGGCGATCCGCGTCATTTCAAACCTAACCGTCGATTTAAGCGATAATCCAACGACTAGGAGGATGTAGAAAACCCCCCGTTGTTTTCCCTCCGGTGTGTCGCCGCTAAAGGCTTATTCTGGAGATCCACGTGATTTCAACCTCATCCGTCGATTTAAGCGATAATCCAACGACGTAGGAAACCCCAGATTGTTTTCCCTTCGATGTGTCGCCGCTAAAGGCTGCCCGTCGCCACTAAAGAACGTCGACAATAAAATCCTCTTCGTCCTCACTTTCTTTCCCGATCTTCTGTGTTTTCCCTTCTTCTCTCTGTTCTCCACCGCCGACCTCATCAGAATTTCACCTCTCTTCCTCTCCATTTTTTCTCCTTTTCTTTTCCTTTTCTCTTCTCCCTACTAAATTTGTGTTGGTTGTCAGAATTTTGAGATCCCCCACCGTTCTCGCCGGAGTATACCGCCACCACCATTGTTCTTGACGAAAATTTGATAATTTTGATCTTTTAGATGTGTATTTTGTGTTTATAGATGTGGATATGTATTTGTATGTGCATTTGTATGTATATGTGTATCTTGAGTGTATTTAACGTATGTATATGTGTTTTTGTATTTTTATTTGTATGTATATATGTATTTTGTATGTGTACTCTGTATATGTATGTGTTTTTGTATGTATATGTGTATTATGTATGTATGTATGTGTATTTGTATGTATAAAAATACATATAAATAGCGGCAACACCTTTAGTGGCGACAGAGAGTATTAGCGGCGACACACCTTTTGCGGCGACGGAAGGCAATAGCGGTGACCAGTGGAGCATTAGGACGAACCAACATCATCGACAGGTCGCCGCTAATACCTTTAGCGGCGACGCCCGTCGCCACTAAAGATCAATTTTCTTGTAGTGTTATGAGGAATAAGGAATTGGTTGCAAAATTCTTGCATTGGGAGTTACTTATTTTGGTGTTGACAATGTTGGTATTGTGGGTAGTTTGGGTTTGGGTTTTAGGTTTTGGGTTTCTACAACAAAAAACGGAAAGTTTTTAGAAGCGTTTTTTATTTTGACGGTTGTGTCTTTGCCTAGAGCCGCCTTTTTTGGATTTGCCACGGGAATCCATTTGGAATGGAATTGGATTAAATTGGAATGGAATTGAAGATAAAGTGGAACTGGAGAAGGTGTGGTCTGTTTGTTTTTAAAGGTAGAGATAAAGTATTTATATTAGTAAAACTTTTATTAAAAATAATTACATTTGACTGGTCAATGGTCAAAAAGCTAGAGAGAGAGAGAGAGAGAGAGAGAGAGAGAGATGTAAAGTAACCCACCAGTAGTCAATGCAATGGTACCCACTACTGTTCAGAATCGTCCTAAAGACGGTACTAGTGATACCACCGACTGTCTACCCCGCTATTTCAACGGCTCCACCCACCCTTAACGATGAAGAATATCAACTTGCCGCCAAGATTTTGGTATATTCAAGACATTTGTTTTTGTCGTTTTCTATTAATTGCCTTTTTACAAAGCTAGTAGAGCTTGTATGACATGATATTGTGCATCTGTAATATTCACTAAGCTTTGTGCTTACCCTTTTTCCCCTTAAAAAAATATTGTTTCAGGATGGCAGGGCGTGACAGTGCACACCGACTCGGATTGATTGGTGGAGTTCTTATATTATATTAGATTATGTCTTCTCTGATTTTGGAAATTATAACTACTGAATAATTTTTTAAATTAATTGATCTTGAATCATTGCTTTGAAACTTCTTTTGAATAAAAGATATGGTTTTGATTATACTTATGTAGAATTAAAAAATTAAAATTTATTGTAAATTTTGGGATGTTACAAAAATATACCTCTCGTATGAAATCAAAATCAGGGTCCCACATGTTATTGTTTATTTCATATAATTTCTTTAATTTCCTAAAAAGGAAAAAAAACAAACCTCAATCTCGAGGTCTTCTATAGAGGTTGAAGAATATAGAGCAGTGATAATTGTGATTTGTAAAACACTGTCGGTTTTGAAAACTTTTAAATGATTTAAAAATTGAGTATATATTCTTATAAATTAATGTGTGACAATAATTTTGCTATTCAGTTTGCATTAAATATTGTTCTTCGTGAAACAACCAAACATATTAGAATACTCCGTATTACTTTTACCCAACACATAACAAAAATACAATATAGGACCGTTGAAGTTAAAAAAAAAAAAAACTAGGAACCAAACATACAAATTATCCCAAACCAAATGAACCATTTGTGTAATTTACTCTTTTTAGTTTGGATGTGTTACCAGATTACTCAAGACACTTTAATTGTTTTTTAAGAGTAAAAAGGGTAATTTCTTATAAGCTGTTTTGGATGCAGCATGGTTGAGGGACTAAAGTTGCTGCAAGCTAAAAGTTGAAGGGGTTGCTGAAGCATGCTGTGTATTCAAAGTTCAAGACGTGGTATTCACTCGGAAGGACGTGTATTCAATACCGTAGACGTCCTCAAACCCTAATTCACTCTCTGTAAAAGGTATTTTCAGCACTGTTTATCTCTCGCGCTGATATCAGTTAATTTAATTAGGGTTTCTATGCCTTGTTAGACTAGATGTAGTTTTGTACATCCAAAGCAAAGATCGTTTCTTCATATTGCAACTGTAGTTTTATGTAATCATTGGTGCCATTCACAAATATAATCAGTTCTTCTTCTGTTAAACCTTCGTTTATTCAGTATTTAGTTCTTAAATGTTATCAACGATTTGGTATTAAACTCCGAACGCGTTTAAATCTGAGTTTAATTGATGCTAAAGAATAGAATGTTTGAATCTGAACGTAAAAAAGAAAACTATCAGGGGGCTTTTGGTTCGTGGTATTTCCATCAAGTTGGATGGTTTCCGATAACTAAACGTCTTTAAGAAAAACCTCTCCGATCAAGGACAAGTTTGTCATTTACCACTTAATAATAAAATAATGGGAATCGAATTCCATTATTTTCTCTTTGTTCTCAACTTCATAACCCAAATGGGTCAAGGAAAAAATCTCAAGAACAAAGTTTAAATATCAATGTTTTTGTGCGTGGGTTTTGAATAAAATGGATTGGTTTTAGTTTTGGTTTGGATCTATATTCATAGTTGAAATGTAGCTAGCATTTGTACATCTCCCATCATATGATGCATATAACTCAGTAAGAACGTAATTTTTTTGCGTATTTATTTCACTCTAATCCAATTTTAACATTTCAAATACTTTGACATTTTCTGATATTTCTATTAAGTTATTCCAGCCATTTCCTCTGTTTTACATGTCTAAAGTGAACAGTCCAGGATTTGTATTTGTGGTTACGGACTATTGAGTGCTGGTGTTGTCATCAATCAATATTTAGGTGCACATAAAATTTTAATATACTTTGTAAGTTGTATGAAAGTACAATGCTGTGATAAGGAGAAAAGAAAGAAGGTACAATATATGGAGAAAAAAAGTGACTATAGTTCTGATCCCCCCTAAAACTGAATTATCGAGTTCATCGCCATGCATCGGTCAGCTTATTATAGGTTTAGATTTATGTAACTGTGTATTAGTTTTACTTGTATAGGGTAATTCTTTTTTTTTAGTTTATCTTAAACTCTAATTCGAAGATTAGAATTCAGATTTCGTTAGTTTTCTTACTTTTCTTCTGATGTTTAACTATTTTTCTTGATGTTATTGGTTGGTTTAGGTAAATGATTAAATCATGAACGGAATTAGCTTGGTGATATCAAAACCTTGCTGTCCGATGTATAATTTTGGTACAAGCAAGAAGATCGACTTAAACCAACATCGATTATCAAAGTTGAACCTTCAAAGAATTTCTCTTCCTATATCAACTACACGTATGTTGAAACATCGTGTATATTCACTATCTGCCCTTCAAGATAAAAAAGGTGATTCAAGATCAGAAGTACCTAAAGTTGTAGGTGTTGTGGTACGTGGTATCATTGGTATAGCTTTAGTTAAACGCTGGGTGTTTATTGCACAATCTATTTCAACTGTGGGAGCAATTGGAGGTAAATTTATTTCCATTTCCCTATTTTTTTAATGAAATTAATTATATCAAGTTATACTACTAACTTTATATCATTGGTATAGGTTTAGCTAAACACGTGGAGGTTGTTGTGCTATCTTCTTTGACTTTGGGAGGGATATTAGATAAGTATCATAAGTTTACTCGCATTAATATACGCCCTTTCCTTTTTTTAAAAAAAGATAAATCAAGTTATACTACTAATAAATCTCTCAAAATTTGTATAATTTCATGAATTTTGAAATCAAGTGCTTGTTTCTACAGTTTTGGCTGTTTCTTTACCTCTGTACTCATGCTAAGCAATATCTTGGAGGGGTTTGCAGCAGTACGACTTGGCAAACACTTTTCGATAGGAGATATAATAGAAGTATGTAAATAAGCTTTCTGATATATTTTATCTTTTGTATGAATTTGTTCTTATTTTGAGTGTTTTTGTTTCAGGTTGGTTGGCTGCAGGCTGGATCTGTAAAAGGTCAAGTTATTAAATCAGGACTCATAACCACCACATTGCTTAGTGAGGAAAGTTCTCCTATACTAGTTGCAAATTACGCGTTTTGTAGTCAGGTGATGATTAGTTCTTTCATCCCTACCTTCAAAAGTTACATAGTCTTTTTTTTTCGTAGAATATTTTGATCAAATCATCAGAACGTTGTTGTCCAATCGTGTCCAAGATTTTTGTGCAAGTTGATGAGATAGAGAAGATCCACGAGATATCAGAGGAAATAATAAACATGATGAAGTCTAACTCAAACGTTTACTTGAAGGGAAAGCAGCCATATTGTCAACATTCTAAGTTGGAAGGATATTGTATAGAGCTTACTCTTGGATGCTATCTAAAAAAGATGGTATGTATCCTCATTCCTCACCAAATTATATTACATGTACATTTTTTGAATCGTTTAATGCAAAATGTACTTTCATTTAAATGTGTAATATCTTGTTTGTTTCCATTACAACATTGTACTGTAAAGTAGTTTTAATTAAGACATTGTACTTTGTAAAAGTACCCAATAATAGCATTGTACTTTCAATTTTTTTTTAATTGTATGAGTCAAAGTTGCTTTGTATATAGATAACATAGCTATACTCAGGTTGATTTCTCAAACTACAAAGCTGTAAAAGTAAGAAAAGAAAGTATAATGGTTTATCTAGCAAATCATTATAACTGTATTTCTATTTCTTGCTTTCCTTGTTATGAATCATATGCTATCTAGTATTGGAAGGTTATGATTGGTATAATAAGAGACGTACTTATGGATATAATAATCTAGTTTTATGATCTTAAAGCTGACATTTCTAGAATTTAGGAAAACCCTGAGAGTCCAAATTAAATAGTAGATTTAAGGGGCTTATAGGAAAAGAGAATTTGAATAAACTTTATTGAATTAAAATTTAGAACCAGATAATTTTTTATTGTAAAATACCCTGTTCTGAATTCTGATTGAATCCTTGATCTGAAGTTTCGTCTGGGACTTAACTAACAACAATATACTTTTAAGTGGTTAATTGCAACATATGTTTAGCTACTTGTTTTTGATAGCATTCTACTTTCATTGTTTTTTACTATAACATTGTACTTTGAAAAAACATACCCATTTGTAGCATTGTAGTCAAAATGCAAAGCAATTTTCATTGCTATAAATGTATAGATTTTTACCTGAATCCTAATTTGTAACAAAGCAAGATTGAAAGAATGTTAAAATGCAATATCTTAATAAGAAAAGAAAAAAACTAAAGGTACAAACAAGGGTTGTAATGAAAAGAAATACAAAGGAGGATGCTATAATCAACACAAATAAGTTTTCTTCCTTTTTGTGTTAACGCTATATATGTCTCATTATGCAGTGTGAAGCCGAGTTACGTTTAGTGAAGCAGGATATTCTTCTGCAGTCAGCTCAGATAATCAAGAAGCATGGGGCCACACTCTGGTGAGCACATGGTGGAGGGTTTGTAACTCTTTGGATCTGCAAAAGGAATACTTCTAACTAGTTTTTTATTTCTTAAGAGTAATCACACTACTTCACTGAAACTTTTATGCTTTTGGTTGTTGACACAAAAAAGATAGTGTATTTGTGTTCTATAACCACCTTCATCTTAATACTCGAAATTGCTATGAGGAAAACCGTTTGGTTGTCAGCTTTTTAGCAAAATTTCAAGACTCTAGAGCATTTAATTGTGGTTTTAAAATATCATATACAAGTTGTAATGCTTTCTCTACTAAAGGTTCTATATCCTTACTACTTTAAAATAGATTATTACTTTGTATTACATTTTGTATTAACTTTACTAGCTATATAAGTTGGAGATATTAAGCAATCTAACCACTTTTTAATGTGTATTTGAAAAAAATAACCCTTTTTTTTTTTTTTTTTACAAAAATAACCACTTTATCTGGAATGGGGTATTTTCGATCAAGACAAAATTCCAGACTAAAATTTCGGATTTCAAAAAAAAAAAAAAAAAAAAACTTCGAAATTTCAAGAACAAGTCCAAAATCCGAAGAACAATTATGGAATTTTGAGAAAAAAAAATCATTTTTTTACTTAAATTTAACAAAAAGTTAAAAAAAAACATATTAATGTGAACTATATACAATATTAGTGCATGAAATTAGACATTTTATTAAGAAATGGTGACATTAAACATTTCAAAAATGTAGTATTTGGAATCCAAAATAATATAAAATTTTGAAAACTAAAAAAAAAAAAATAATAATAATAAAAATAGAATAAAACTCCAGGTATATGAACAGTACTTCAAAATTAGGCATTCTGGAGAAAGTGGTTATTTTTCAAAAACTAAAAGAACATGGTTATTTTCTTTGAAAACCTCGTTTTAGCGATGAGCATATGAACCGGAGAACCGGTCGGAACCGGTACCGAAACTGAAACCCGATGGAACCGGTAGAACCGGCAAAAACCGGAACCGTATGTTGCTATTTCTTGAGGACCGGTTCCAACATTTGAAGACACGACAAGAACCGGTAGGAACCGGAACCGGTAGAACCGTTGGTCCAGTTCGGTTCCTATTTTCCACCAAGTTCGGTTCCCGGGCCGGTTCCAGCCAGGTTGGTTCCTTTGCTCATCCCTACCTCGTTTATAATGATTAGTTACTCAATTTCCCTATAGATTATAAACAAAATTACATAAAGTGTTTCTGTGCTTTACAAAAAATCACAAGTTCTCCTAACTTTTTCTGTGATGAAGAATTATTTACACACTAAATATGAGGAAGGCTAAGTAACCGTCACCAAAGTAATTTAAACACCCCTTACTAACAATCAAACCCTAGGAATAAATAAGAGAATTAATCTAGTTTAAATGAAAACATGGTAATTTACCATCTCCTACTACTATAAAATACCTATATTTTTTTGTAACTTGGTGCAAATATTTATATGGAGGATAACTTGATGGCTTGAAGACCCATTTATGACACGTGGGCAAATGTTGATGACTTATGTGAGTTGTAGCTCCTTTATATATAGTATAGTCTTATTCATTTTGTAGATTAGAGAGTAAGGTTTATATGATTCATATTGTTTAGAGAGTAAGATTGATTTATATAGTTTGAGTAAACCCATGCTCCTACCTTTTTGTTCTATTCATATCATTTATACAAATTATGTTTAAATAGTTACATCGATCTTGTTGATTATGTCATTCTTCGTATTCAATGTGTCAAATCTGGGTTTTATGCATTCACAATTCGTATCAAAGTCATGCCTTAAAGATCTAAACGATTGGTACAAGGAACGATCTCAATTTGAAAAAATTTACACATAATCTGTTCAAGATTTGATAATCTTTGCTGAGTCTTCCAAATCTCTTGGAATCATTTTGTTAAAGAATTTTGGGAAATTGTCAGAAAAGTCCCAAAATTTTTAGGAAAGTTACACTTTAGTCCCAAGATTTTTTTTTTGAACATTAAAGTCCCGATTATTTCATTTTGGCTCAAGTTTACAAAAAAATCTTTTTTTTTCTTTTAACAGGAAATGACATATTATCGTGTTTTTACAAAAAATCGGGACTTTAATGTTCAAAAAAATAATTCTGAGACTAAAGTGTAACTTTCCTGAAAATATTGAGACTTTTCTAGCAATTTCCCAAGATTTTTGCTACTCTTAGATAATTTGTTTGTACTGGATCGTATCTGTTAGATCATTTGTTTGTATTGGATCATCTGTTGATTGAAAGCCCAAAATCTAGCCCAATTGTTCTTAGCCCAAATCTTTGTTCTAATTGTTTACTAGACATTTATCAGCCCTAAAATCAAAATTCTTTCTCACGTCAGCTTCTAAATCTCATTCTGGATTTATGTCGATTCTCGGATCTTTCATTACACGATTCACGATTATTTCTTCTTGACATTAAAATCGTTTCTTCCATGAAAACATTTATTTGATCCTTGTTTGAACTAATTTAAATCATTCTGAATTCATTTGCTTAATCGGTGTCTACATGCTCTTCATTGATTCATCAGTCCGTCTTTACCATGATTGATTGAATTTGAGTGCACTCATTTAAGTACAAATATGTTGTGGAGGTTGAGGAGTGGTAAGTTGACATTGAATATGTTTAGCATCACACAATGCCTTGAACATATAAGAAAGATACTCCCGTCCTTGACGCATATAAAACACCACGTAGGATTAAAGTTCGTCCTTCACGCATGATTAAATTCAGTAAGAAAAACAGAACTAGCAACACAAACTTGACTAACATAAGCATTGTATACCTTGTTCGGATTGTAAAAATCACGAGCAAAATGCCCTTTGTTGTTAGAATTGTAGAATTTTATATTTGCAATGTTTATTTTCTTCTTGAAAGGACGTTTTACTTTTTCTCATATCGATTCCCTTTCTATTTCTTATAGTGGGAGTTGTTTTTCTTTCTAGTGGCGATTTTGGAGCTAGAATCTAACACATACACCTCAATATCAAGGGCGATGCTAGGTAATGCCAAGGTGGGTCAAAGTGGTCACTTGAACCACCTAAATTTAAAAAATTCACAATAAATTATACATAAAAAAAAAATTAGGACCTACCTTAAATATTTTGAATGACCTATCTTAATGTGTTTGACAAAAGAAAATGAAAGGAAAAAAATGGTATAAACTATAGACAACCGAAAACATATCATATTTTTTGGCATGAAGTCTCACATCGACAGCAAAAAGAAAGTTGTGAGGAGGTTTTCCATTATAAATAGATTTTTCCCCATTTACACTTTCACGCCATAAGTTAAGTTTGTTGAGGAATGGTTTAAGCCGATTACTCTAAGTATAAGTTGATTCTATAAAAAAAAAGTTAAGGAAATACCGATTTGGCTCGATCCTTTCACAACCAACTTTTATACATGCAACATCGGTTATTTTCTGGTTGAACTGACCCGATAGAAATCGGGTTTCTCTTGAACCGTCCCCGTTAAACTCGGTTAGGGAACCACATGTCTCATTGTTTTCTTCTCTAGACTCGCCACTGCTCGATATGTGATTTATCGGCCTCAAACGGATCCACTTCAAGCTCTAATGACACGCACAATCCTCAAAATTCTTAATGGTTTCGTTATGAGTGAGATGTATGTTCACATGTTGCCAACTTTAAGGTAAGGGATAGATAACAACTTGAACTTGCTGTTCATCGGTAAGGACATGCTGATCAACATTTATTCAACCCACTTATCATGTTTGTGTTGGGTCGTCAAACCAACAATTAATAGGTATAATAAAAATATTGCTAAATTATACCTGAAACTAGTATAGCTTAAAGTATGAATCGTATCCACAAGGACACAAAACTATAGTAAAATACCTATTTGCCCAAGGTATAGTGAGTTGACACAAAAAAAAAAGAGGGGTGTGGTTGGGTTATTTATTTATTTTTTTGAACATCAATTAGATAGTCTATTTAAGCAAATTGATTTTTAAGATAAACTAGATTTTGAGACAAACCCGATTTCTATGTTTTATTCATCTATACGCAATTGATTTGTGAATTGACGTTTAGACAGTTTTAAAGTTGGTACTAAGCAATATTGAAAAGTTCTAATATCACTTGTCAAATTATCTAATTAAAACAAGCTTCACGTATTATATCATCATCCTTACTACATAGCAAAGTGATGCGAGAAATGGTGTTTTCCCTTTTCCAAATGTTATACAAATCACCATTCCTCTTGTGTTGACCTGTGTTTCCTTCCTCAGGTTCCTCCATGAACATATTGGATTTTCGTGCTTCAGATTTCAAAGTTTAAGTTATCCTCATTCAGTTTAATACCCTTAATTCAATTCAGCAAGTATGTTCTTTGATGCAGAATCCATGTTTGAAACCAAAGTTCTATTATAGAAATATACATAAGAACTTATTAATATTCATCCATATAGATTTTCAATTATTGCCTATTATTTCATTATAAAACAATAAATAACATAAATAATCATGGAAAATCAATCTAGTAAAAGCATATATATATATATATATATATATATATATATATATATATATATATAAAGTTCAATAGAGAACCATACAATAGAGAACCATAATTATTGGTTCTTTAAGGAACCAAATCTTTTTTTTTAATTTCTAGAGCTTATTCTTTATCGAAAAATCTAAAAATATCTAAATTCATATATTAACATTGTGAATGTGAAAAATATTTTTCGGATTCACCGTGTGAATCCGGATTCACATTGTGAATTTTCAAAGATTCATATTGTGAATTTAACGTAAAAAAAATCGAATTTAATATCATTGGAAAAAGGATAAAAAGTTATGAATTTCTGTATTTTTAGTTTTTTTTTTGATAAAAAATAAGTTCTAAAAGTTGAAAAAAAAAGATTGATTCCTTGGTCCTTTGGTTAATTATGGTTCTCTATTGAACTTTACATTTTATATATATATATATATATATATATATATATATATATATATATATATATAATATGTTCACAATGAAATTTGAATTAATATTTACAAACTATTAGCATTTACTTACTATGAGATTTACAAATAA